AGGTGGGTCCCACATGTTGTGCCATGTGACCGAGTGAGCTGGTCGACATGTGATTAAATTAATCGTTGCTTAAATCGGTATTTCAGTTGATCGATGATACGAGTTTTGAGTTGGAATGCACGTGTATTGGACATACAGATTGAATGAATTGACCTATACGCCCTCTGCTATTAATCGTAGATCCTAAGTCCAACGTGCCGGAGTGAAGGGTAATATGGGAATTCAATTAAAAATTTATGATCTAGAGGCATTTTATGTGGGAAGCATGTTTGGTTGGTTGGGGCTTTTATTATATATATAGCTAGGAATGACAGAGTATGATGGAACATGATAATTTAATCATTTGAAATAATTTGTTGAGATTGGGGATCATCTAAGCTTATGACTTATCTAATGATGTCCTTAATTGCTTGTAATGAAGAAAAGCTGTTTGCATCATCATAGAATATATAATTCCAATGATCCCATTGAGATATTATTTAGAGCCCATCTCGTAGATATTTTAAACCCAAAAATCAATGCAAAGCCTTTGTGTAATGATGATTTTTAGGAATTTTTTTGAAAAAAAAAAAATCTTTTTGAATATTCATTCCCATAATGGAGTTGGGAATAAATAAAGAAAACTCTCAAATTGGGAAGGAACACATGGTCTAGTTGATGTTATTGTATTAGGGGAAGGCAGAGCTGAGGGTGGCATGATAGATAACTTTTTTGTTTTTCAAAGTCACATCTAAATTTCTACTACCATAATGTTTTAGGGAAGGAATCCAAAGATTTTATGGCATTGTTTTCAGCTTTACTAAAATCAACTCTGCTTTTCCCATCTTTTTTAGCAGTGATTATTCGGGACCTATATCTTCATCCCTTGGGTGCTGAAGCACACTATTGTCAGTACAAGTAAAATGGACCGGAGGCAGTACCATTTTACAGAGAATTTGGGTAACAAAATCTCTTAAGAGATTTCAGATTCAAATGCTTTATTGATATGTACAGGGAAATCACTGTCCATGAAAGTAAACTTCAATTTAGAATACTTTTATATGATGAAAGTTACTATA